CTCACTTGTCTCTTTGACAAGTTCGTAGCTTGTTGCTTCGAATGGCAAAACTCACTGATGATGCCGACTATGATGCCGGCGAAGCGTTTGAGAATGTACCAATTCCACAGTCTGATGCTGTAAATCATGACAACTACTATGGCAGACGACTTCGGACTAGGTGCGTTTTACTAAGTCGCCCTGACAACAGGACCAAATTACGACAACGAGGTCAACCCATTTCTATAAATCGAAAGGAGACTGCGACCATACCAGAGGCCACAACATCTTGGTCTTTATAACTTCGGCTATGCTTTGTTTGTCTTTATTTTTCCCTTCGACTCAATTGGCTTTTGGTCTTGGTCATTGCCACCTCGGGCGTCATTAAAAAATGCTCGTTCTCCTCGCCAAACATTTGAAGATGATCTCTTAAAGAATTTGGTTGCACAGTGCACAGTCCATAAACTTTACCCTCTTTGTGTCCACGCTGTTTACGGTTGCCGGGTGCTAAAGGCTTGAAATGCCATACACTGCAAGGCTTCTCGCGTTCATCAAGCGACAGTGTCAGTGGTATGCTGATCCCGATCCAACTCGTGACTTCCGATCACCTCGGGTCAGTTCGGCCAGCTCGAGCCATTTCTCCCGACAAACAAGGCAACAGTGGCAAGCCAGACGGGCGAAACAATCCGCTCATTCGAGGCGTCTTCTCCACCCGTCGCTGGAAGTCTGGCTCCACCAGCGATACCGACGACGGTAGTGGCAGTGTAGGCAGATGCGCCTTCGACCAACCACCCGCCTACCTGGCGTCTGGCTTCCTTTCGCAGAAGCGCCGCTGCCAGACGGGCAAGTTGCTCGAGCCGCTCTCGAGGAGGTTGACTGAGCCGACCGGCAAGTCGGTCTGCCCTGGTCGGCGACAGCAGCAACCAGATGAGGCGGCCTACACCCATTTGGTGGCAGAAGCAGACTCGACCCCCTCCGCCGTTGTCAGGGACAACCTCGTCCTCACCAGTTTCGCAATCCCGTCCAAGGCGCCTGAACTCTACGAGGGCCCAGAGCCCGAGTGTGACCGTCCGAAGCATCTGTCCTGGCAGGTGTTGGGGCCTCACGACCTCGAGACGTCGACATGTTGCGAGACCCGAGCCGCCTGTGGTCTGCAGACGGGCAAACGAGGAGATCGAGGAAGCAGAGGAGGCACAGCAACGGGTCTCCTCTCGTTGTTCACACAGACAGCCGCCAAGCGCCGCCTCGACCAGGAGGCAAGGCTGGCCGGTGAGCAGATGGGACCGGGCAGTGATTGTCCAGCCAACATGACCGTCATGAACCAGACGGGCGGCATGGCCAAGTTTAATCCCTACTGTACCGTCAGTTTTGTCTAGAGCTCGTTCTGTTCAGCTCCACCTCTGCTCGAAAAAGAAAACTTTGCGACAAAGACCGCGGAATAAACAGAGAGGTGAATTTCGAGGCGCCAAGCCGATCTCGGGGCGTCCAATACACACACACACACACACACACACGCAATCAGAACAACCCCCAAAAGCTGAGGATCACACATGAGCTATCCCCTGATTTGCGCCCCTAAGCGGCGGGAGCTTTATGTGCAATCATGAAACCATTCCTCTCAATTGAAGTAGTATTGCTTTCCAGCATTGTCTATATGCACTAGAACCAGTGCCTGGATGTTTGTTTGTTCCGAATGAACAAAAGGTTATGCATCTTTACTCAATCTTACTCTTTATTTTTGTACTTCTACATCCCGCGACTTCAAGTTGAGCAAGTTGCGCTGTATCGACAAGGATGCGGCAAGCTCCTTAGATCTCTGATTCACAAATGCAATGCCTCAATCCACCGAGTGTCTTGTCATTTTCCCCACTCTGGTCTGCGATCTGACATTGCCAAGTTTGCCCAAGTTTTCCACTAAGCAACCAACTGCCGATCTAACAGGCCGCAAGTGAAGTGTATATCTCTCTCTTATGCTAGTTGTGTCTGAGCTGCCGCATGCTATGTACATTCCAGACGCCAGGAATACTGACTTTGTCCTACTGCACCACTTGGCCCGAATAGGTTACAGAT